TCCAGCTTACCCCTCTTCACGGCAGCGTTGCACTCCATGTGTATGAGCCCCATTTTTTATCCATTCATCCACGGAGGGACATGTAAGCTACTGGAGACCCTGCAGTTAGGTTCCGGTTTCCTGCCCAGCATAAAAGCAGAACTAGGAGAGAAAGCGGTGTGCCGGGATGACCAATGCCAAGGCACCAACAGAGGCACTGATTTTTATGGGGTAAAGGTGGGCTACGTGCAGGGGTGGGGCTGCGTGAGAAGATGCGCAGTTGTGCGGTTTCTGTGGAGACCAATGTAACCAGGGCTCATCATGGCCAAGACAAAGCAGTCTCGGCTTGGGAACACAGTAGACAAAACACGTGCTGTAGTTAGAGCATTGTCCCCTGGTTAGACGGTTTTAGCTGTGTGAACAGGATTTGGGTGCAAGTTACTCTGACCTCGGCACATAGGCTTCGGCCAGACTCACTTCTGTAAACAGCCAGTTGAGGGGTCCTCTCCTCACAGCCGGCTCTGGGCACAGTCCGAGTTACGGTGCCCTGCAGTAGGCAGCTTCCGGGGTTTAGCTCCCAGGAGTAGTGCTGCTGCTTGAGACGCTTCCCTTGTTGACTGGCCTCCTCCTTCTAGTGGGTGAGTACCAGCATCTGCTGAACAGGGCAGAATCGTGCTGGGCGGACATGCAGAAGGCTTCCTTAGTTTTGCTCGCGTTGACCGTGAAAGGGGACTGGTCCTAAGGCTCCTGCCTCAGCCTGCAGAGCTCCCACAGCCGATGAAGCTGTCCGGGGCACCTAGCTGTTCAGCCGTGGGAAAGCCACCTCTCGTCCGAATGATGTGGCTGCGTTACTGCTGCCTCTGCCCTCAAAGGCCGGTGTGGAAGGTGCCCACGGCCAGCCTGCGACCTTAGACCCCCAGCTGTAGTGCTCAGCAGTTTGACTTTTCCACAAGATAAAACACAAAGGCATTTCTTTTCGTGCCGTGTCTCCTTCTACTGGGTTCCCTTACGTAGTTCTTTACTTCTGGTTACCCTGGTAACTGGTGGAGATGCCCGAGTGCGTGCTCCCGTTGCGGGCCTGTTCGTTCAGCCACATCTCTGACACACAGAAGAACTGTGTCCTGAAAGGAGCAGGGCCAGGCAGCTCTGCTGCGCCGCCGTCCCCACCCCACCTCGAGCAAGTCTGCTCTGCACCTGTGCAGCAGGAGGAAACTCAGAGGTCCATACGGAAGGAAGGAGCTGCAGCGTCCAGGAAACGTGTGTGGTGGCTGTGGGCAAAGTGGCCTCGCTGAGAGCCCGTACGGTCCACGTGTTTGACCTGTCCTGTGGATGCGCTTGACACGTGGGACCCCAGAAAGCATCCCGGGCCTGGCTTTCCACCTTCTCTGCCCCAGGAGTGGTCCCAGGCTGGTTGTGCTGGCAGGTCTCCGGAGTGAGGCTGTGGTGTTTGGAGAAGGGGTGGTTAGCGCTGGAAATCTTGGCGAGGTGTGCAGAGGGTATTTGTCTTTCATTGAACCTGGTGTCAGAGGAAAACAAGACTTTAGAGTCCAAGGAATAAAAGTGTAGGTTCCCCCTGAGGGCCTGTGAAGGGGAAACAACCGCAGCGCCCCTACTTCCAGGAGTGGGGTGGGGTCAGGTACATTTCTGGCCCTGGGGAACCTGTGAGCCTGGGAGTAGGACCTGGGGCCAGGCCCTAGTACCCACCTTAGCACCCAGGGCACTGGGCGGAAGGTGGGAAGAGGGGCCTGGGAGAGGGTTTCAGAGGCTGGGTAGCTTCAGGGACGCCTTCGCCTCCGGATCTGGGCAGGATAGGGCCTCGGGGTGTGCCTGCGTCTGGGACCTCATCCCTGGCTAGTCCTTCATTGGGGGGGGGTCTTCTGTGGGAGACTGACGCTCCAGCCGAGATGCAGCCGATTTGTCTTTGAATCATTCTCCACCCATTGCTCCCCTTTCCCAGCTTCCTGAGCCTGTTTACTGTACAGATGTTGCGGGAACCCAGGGAGGTCAGCACAGCAAGGGCTGTGGCCCAGACCCAGAAGCAGAGCAGTGCCAGCACCGTCTCCCCGCCTGTGCTGGTCGCCACGCCAGGCAGAGATGGACACAGTCGCAGTCGCCAGCGGGATTCTGCTCCCCTCTGGCTGGCGAGAGGCCTGGGCTCCTCCAGAAACCTCTGCAAGCTCATGTCTGCCTCTGAGTCACAGGCCATGCACCATCCCTGCTCCCGGGTGAAATGTGCTCCTCGGTGTGTCGGGTGGGAAAAGAGCAGGAGTCCTGGGGGCGCTGCACTTCTGCACTCCTTGTGTTTTGAGTGGCTTTGTTAGAGGAGGACTTCCTGTCATTGGTGCATAGCCACGCTCATTAACACGTGACTGTGGCCGCCTTCTCCGATGATGACTGAGTTGAGTGACTTTTGTTTTGTTGCTGTTTGAGACAGGGTCTTACTATGTAGTTCAGGCTGTCCTTGAACTCACAGTGTAGCCCAGGCTGGGCTCCAACGCATGGAGTCCCTCCTGTCTCAGCCTCCTGGGTGCTGGGATTGTAGGCATATGCCACCATGCCTGGCTTAAACGTATTGATTTACAGTTTTTGGCAGTGCTGGGGAGTCAAACTCAGGGTCTTGTGCATGCCGTACAATCTCTCTGTGCCTAACTCAAATGGCTTGGATAAAGCGAATGTGGTTTGCAGACCCAGAAGTACTTCTTTTCAATCCTCACTGAAGTTTGTGGCCACTGTACCAGACCAAAGAGAGGTTTCTGTGCTGAGCTGGCCATTTAAACTTGCATGGCAGAGGGCCTTGGGTGGTTAGTCCTGAAGTGTGGCTGTTACTGTCCTGTTAGATTGGCCCAATGGGGTGGGAGTGTGGGCACAAGACTTGGCACGGTCAATGCCCCGTGCTGCACTCTGTGTTATGGACCCTCCTGCCCCGACCCCAGGCAGCCTCAGCTTAAGTTCCTGGAGCCGGCAGGTGGCCTGGGCTGCGCTGTGCGGTACCTCAGTGACGTGTTTCCTTCTTTGAAAATTGGTGGTCGGCAGAGAGCAGGAGGGTGGTTGGCCCGGGTCTTTAGCTCAGCTGCCCACTACGGACCCGTGCCAGGAACAGGTAGAATCAGCACTGACACCAGCCCCGCGATTGTACCTGCCAGAAGTGGGGCAGAGCTGGCACTTACACGCCCACGCAGGGTTTTAATTGCTGTCATGCTTGTTAATTTTTGGAAAGCAATCAAAATATTTGCCTGGCTTTAAAAGAAAGCATATTGCTAACAGCCAGAAGATGTCTGCAAAGTAAATAAAGCTTGAAATGTCAGTGCCTCACACGGAGCGAGGGAGAGGAGACAAATAGTCCACCCCTGTCCCACGCCCCAGGGCCGTCCTCAGCAAGGGACAGCACAGCAGGGCTCCGCAGCCACCCCTCACGCTGCACTCTGGGTCTCCATGGCCCCACCTGCAGCTCTCGGCCACGTGCTGTCATGCAGTGTGCCCACCATGTTTGTGCTGGGTGCTAGGCACCCACGCAGCCCCATCCCTGCCCATCTCAGAGGCAGGGAGATCCTGCCCTCTCGGTCCCTGTCCCTCACCCACGTGGTCAGTGAGACCCCAGTAATCAGTAAGAGGTGTAGAGCTGAGTTCTGCTCTCCTCCTTTGGCCTGTGGGTTGTGACCATGAATTTGATCCTTTTGATCTCTTTGCCCACACCTCTTGGATTCCAGGGGGTGGGGCAGACAGTGCCCTGTGGGGAGGGAGGAGCACCTGGATCCCAGTTTCAGCTGATCCCAGCTCTTCAGAGTCCACCCCCACTCTAAGCTTTGTGTGAACGGCGACATTGTGACTGCCCCACCCAGAACTCGGTGTGCTGGGGTAGGCTGGAAGAGCGCCTGGGGTCAGAAGAGCCGGATGTGACCGCAGCCCCCGCTGCCTGCACTTGAATTTGTTCAAGAAAGATGGACGGGACACTTAGGGGGCAGGTGTGGCTTGAGACTGGGCAAGTGGGGTGCCAGGCCCAGCACAGCAATGGAATTCACCAGGGAGGAGGAGGGTGAGGCGATGTGATGTCAGTGGGGAAGCTCGGGTGGCTGCGCAGGAAGAGAAGGGCACGGTGGCAGCAGAGGGCCCTGCATGTCTCCGAGCGGCGCATGGTAACTAGGGCGTGAGGCATTTGGTTTTGCAAACGTGCAGTGGCATCCGGAGGAAGCTGTGTGCTGTGGCCGCAGTCAAGCCCAACTTCAGCGCTGTCGCCGCCCTGAGGGACGGGGCCTCCTGCCTCCTCCTCCCTGCAGGGTGCACTGCTCTCCCCGTGCAGCTCTGCCCTGCCCCTTTGCTGCCTGTGCTCTTCTGCTGTGCCGCGGTGAGGTTGGGTTTGCGTGGCTTGCAGCCTGTGAAGCAGCGATCCGTGCATGGCAAAGCAAAGCGAGCAGACAGAAGGACACAAGCTCAGAGGGGGGCTGCTGCTGTGGGCGGGGCTGTGCGCATGGTGCACAAGGCTGAGCCCGGGGTGGTGGCAGCACCACGGCGGAGGACACAGGAGGCAGGACACCCTGGCTGAACCCCGGGTGTGCACTGAGGACGTCTTTGATGAGCTGTGGGAGCTCACTGAGCATTTTCAGCTCCAGAGCAGGAACCATAGCCCCAAGAGCACCCTGGGTGCTGATCAGGGTGCAGTGACAGCCTCTGTCTCCCCTGGGAAGGGCGCCAAGGCACCCAAGGTGAAAGTCACAGGTCTCGTCCCTCTGCACAGGGCCTGTGAGCATCACTGGGTCCCTGGGAATCAAATGCCTGGGGAGGGCAGAATGCGCAAAAAGAGCGGTGTACACGAGAAACAACCCAGGGCTCACTGGTGTAACATCGGCCTGCGAGGCTGCGGAGAACGGTCTCACCTAAACGAGACCGTAAGAAAACGTTCTGTGGGACGTGTACAGCTTTGTTTTTTGTTGGATTTCTTCCCATGACAAGCAGTTTCCGCAAGGCACCTGCCCGGGGGCACCTATTGGTTTGACAGTTCTGTTTCATTTTCCTCCCCACTCCAGTGCTTGCAGACAACCTGAAATCCAACCCCGGAATCAAGTGGCAATATTTCAGTTCGGAAGAAGGGATTTTCACTGTGTTCCCCGCACACAAATTCCGGTGTAAGGGCAGCTACGAGCACCGCAGTAGGTATGCAGACTTACTTGCTGTGGTTTTTAGCTGTGGCTCCAGGTGAGCTACATGAAGGGGTTTGGGCTAGAGATCTTGTCCAACATGCAGGAAGCCCTGGGTTCGATACCCAGCACCGCCCCCACACACTCAGTGATCTACACAAAGTCTCGAGTCCCCCTTTCCACACACCGCCCTGTCTTGGCACTGCAGAGACTCGGACTTGTTCCAAAATGATTTCCCGCTCGACACCCTCCGTGGGTGTGGGTAGGGCCGATGATCAGAAATGTCAAACAAGCCAAACCAAATAAAGCTATCCTGTACTGATGGAGTTGGCTCATTTGAAGTTCTGGGAGTGTTTTGAGCTTCAAGTGTCTGCTGCCGTCCAAAGAACGGTCTTCCAGTAGGATAGCCGTAGCACCATAATGACTGCAGGAGAGTTGGGGATTCTCAGCTTCCCTCTCTGTGACAGTGAATTTCCCAGTTTCATCCCGGGGGTTTTAAGGTTCAGAACACCCTGGGTTAGAAGTCTTCTGTCAAGCTTCTCCAGGGAAGTGGCTTGGGAGTGTACATACAAGTAGCTATGGTGGAGGAGCGGGGATGCTTTGTGTGACCAGGCTGTGGTTTCCAGGACACCCTGGGCAGAGATGCTGTGCTTTGAGTGCCACACGTTCCCATTGGGGGTGTCAGTGTTGGTGCCAGAACATCTGCCCTGCCTGGTGCCCGCACTCCATGCCATCTTCTGGAGTCTAGGTAAACAGTCTCTGCAGCTTCCCTTTCCTGCCCTCTCTGCATGGGTTCTAGACTGTCTCAGACACTTTCCTATCGCTGGGACAAAATCCCCGACACCCACAACTTCAAGGAGGAGAGGTTCACTTTGGCTCTCGGTTTCAGTCTGTGGCCTGTTGCTCCAAGGCAGAAAAAGAATGGCAGAAGGGTCTGGTGGGGGAGAGCTGCTCACCTCATGGCGGTCAGGAAGCAGAGAGAGAGGAGAGGAGGTGGGGACAGAGCACACCCCTCCAGGTCACACCCCAGTGACCTCCTACAGCACAGTCGGGCACGAATGCATCCAGGGATGGATCCACTGGTGGGTGTAGCATCCGTGATCCAGTCCCCTTCCACACACAGGAGACGTGGGGAGACTATAGGTTCAGGTAGGGTAGGATAGGATAGGATAAGGGTACCTTTTCCACCTTATCCCAAAGGAACTTACTTCTGCTTCTCTTAGAACCCCATTGTTTGACTTCTTCCTGGCCTCTGTAGACACCGTAGGGGACTTGGTTGTGGGGGCTGCTGGACCGGATGTCGAGATGTTAGCTTCAAGTTGGCTTCTCTCTGGGGTCCTCTGACTCTAGCCGCTCCTGAGAAGGAGATTAGTTGGCCCAGAGTGCATAAGGCCCAGCCCACAAGGAAAGCAGGACTCAGTCTGAGCCACCTGCCCCAACGTAGACGATTTCCCTGCACCTCGAGCCTGAGGGCTTCAACTAACCCTGGAGCCTCCTGCCCTGGGCTGAGAGAGCTGAGCCTGTCCCTCATTATCCCCCACCATTCTCTTCCTGAGTGTCCCTTTCACCTGTTCGAGCTCTGAGGGAGAGAGGAAGTCAGGAAGGAAGGTAGGTAGGTGTCCTTCTAAGTAAAATCCTCGCCCTGGCCTGGAGGACCCAGAAAGTCCCCTCTGAGCTGGCCGGCTGTGGCCAGGCCTTGCCCTTCCCTTCTCTCCCCTCACGGCCTGTCGCTCTGCTCTGTGGCCAGCTCCTCTCTGCGCTCCCTGCGGCCCGGTGTACCAGCTAGGAATGTGCAGGAGTCCTTTGGAATTTAGGGAGGACTTCGGGCCTGAGAGCTGTCACTGTGCACTTGGCCTGTATTTCTTAGTTCTTGCCCAGGCTTTTGGGACTCAGCCGCAGTCTGACGCGTCACAGGGAAACGCAGGTGTGGATGGAGTGATAGCTGGGCTTCAGGGCTGTGCTGGGGCGCTGATGGCTGACCCGTGACGACTGACTCGGCACCAAGAGGGAAGGAGCTGCTTCTGTAAGGAGAGAGAAGCCAGACCTGTGTTCAGACCTGCTCAGAGCTCCTGGGTCCTAGCAAAAAAGCTCGCTCGCTCCTGGGTCCGCACCATCCTTCCCTCTGGGGCCCCAGCTCATTCCCTGCAGCTGAACATTGAGGGGGCAGCAGAGAGGCATGGGTAACTGAGCAGAAGCCCCTCCTGGAGGGCTGGGTCCTTAACAGCATCCTCCGTGACCCTGTCCTGCGGGCCGCCTTTGCTGCCTGGGCAGTGTTTTCCCGGTGCACCTGGCCTCCTCCCTGCCGCCCTCCCCGGCCCTGGGAGCACATGCGCCCCGCTGGCGTGGCCTGAGCCCTGTTTCCTAAAGCAGCACTGACCAGAGCTCCTCTCCCTCCAGACCCATCTACGTCTCCACTGTGCGGCCGCAGTCCAAGCACATCGTGGTGATGCTAGACCACGGCGCTGCAGTCACCGACACCCAGCTGCAGATTGCCAAGGACGCTGCGCAGGTCATTCTCAGCGCCATCGACGAGCACGACAAGGTAACCGCCGCCCCTGCTCCTGGGGCCTGGGGTCCTGCAGGTCGTCTCCCTCCGGGTGAGCGTGGAGCGGTACTCGTGTGGCCCAGGCCCTGCCGCCTGGTTACCTGGTTGCTTGGTCCCAAGCACAAGTGGCCTGTTCTCAGACAAAGCTGCGTCCGCATGTGGCCCAGGCTCTGGGTTTTCTTTAATTCGCCTGTAAAGTGACTTGGGGACAGAACAGTGGTATTGTTTTTATTCTAACTTGAGAACACAGCCGCGTGTCTTCCCGGGTTCACACCACCACCTTCCGCAGCCTGCATGTCCTATAGCCGCGTTTAGTTCCTGTTGGCCTAGACACTCCCACGGAAGTTGAGCCGTGGAGGGAAGGGAGTGGGTGGAAGCTGGAGGGGGACCGGGGACGGCTGCTGGGGTCACTGCTCTCGGGGCACACCCAGCAGACAGCTCAGGGTCATCTGCCGCCTGTGCGTTTTCTGCTTTGTCATTTTGACTTTCCGTCTCGCTAATCTGCTTCCTTAAACACACACACACACACACACACACACACACACACACACACACACACACACACACACACACCACACACCCACACACACACCCACACCCCCATACCCTCGTCCCCTCTCCACTGTTTGAAAACCAAGATGGTTAGTTCCTGCTAAGTTTTTTTCTCTGCACAAATTTTGCTGCTGTTACCGTTCTAATGATATTTGGTGATTTTTTTTTTTTTTTTTTTTTTTAAACCACACTCCAGGGAACCCTCCCTTTATGAACTAATGCTTTTTTAACTTGATAGACCAATACCTCCAGGTATTCATTTTTAAACTCAGATAGTGTCCTAGCGTCTTTTCACTAGTGGATTTCTTGTATTACATGAAAATCCTGGCTGGATACCCTGGCACACACCTGTAGTTCCAGCTACTTGGGAAGCTGAGGCAGGAGGATTGTTGAGCCCAGGAGTTTGGGGCCAGCCTAGGCAGCATAGCAAGACCCCATCTCTTTCAAAATCTTGAACTGGTAGGTTGGCAAGCTTTTGTTCTTTTCCCCTTCCTGCAGATTTCCGTGTTAACCGTAGCAGACGCCGTCAGGACCTGCTCTCTGGACCAGTGCTATAAGGCCTTCCTGTCCCCAGCCACCAGTGAGACCAAAAGAAAAATGTCCACCTTTGTGGGCAGTGTCAAGGCCTCGGACAGCCCCACGCAGCACGCGGCGGGGTTTCAGAAGGCGTTCCAGCTGGTCCGAAGCACGAGCAACAGCACCAAGTCCCAAGCAAGTAGGTGCACGAGGGGGTCGTTGTGCCTGGGCCGAGCCGGCTTAGAGAGTTTTCTCAGGTCTCCTTGTGGTCCTCTCCCTGTCGGCTCCCATGAGACTTCCTCACCTTTTCCTTTCAAAGGAGGTTAGGTGCTGGTTAGTTGCTGGTGTTTCTAGACTCCCACAGCCTGTGCTTCCGCCCGGAGAGGCCCGAACCCTCACTCTTGCCCCGGTGATCCGTGCGTCCTTTTTAATGTTGATCCTCGGTTTGGGCTATGTGGACTGGAGGACTCAAGGGGACGTGCGGGATCCTCCCCTTTCCTTGCCTTGATCTCTCCCTCTCCCAGCTGTCACCCAGCAGAGCACAGCCCCTTGGATGCTTAAAAGCGTGCTAATTTAATTTTTGTGGATTAAAGAAATCTGGAATTAGGATGCACACTAAAGGAGAGGAAAGTATTTGAATTGGGGATGTTGCTTTGAAATGTCTACAAAGAATCGATTGCATTTTCCCTTTTATATTGGAAAATCTGTTGGTAGCTTTTTTTCTCTTTGCCAAAACACGAGTGTTTCCTGTGGAGATAAATTGAGAGGGCGCCTCCCCAGCTCTCGCGTGTGTCTGCATTTCTACTAAGGCAATGCTGATCAGCGCTTGGCACAGGGCTGGGCACATGTGGCCCTGCGGAGGGAGGCAGCTGGGGTCACTGTCACCAGTGGTGTGCGGTGGCTGCCACAGTCATCTCTAAAAACTGCACACAATCTCACGTGCGTTTGTTATTCCCTGGTTCCCAGGAGTCAGGGGTCTAGGCAGGCGTGGCCTGACCTGTCCAGGGTCAGCCAGGGCTGTGGTCTACCCTGGGGCTCCCGGGCCTCTTCGCCCCACCTGTCTGTTGGCAGAATCAACCCCTCGAAGCCACGAAACTCCTGTCGTTCCTTCCTCGAGTCCAGGGGGCCTCTCTTCTGTTTGGAGTCCTGACCTCTGGGAAGGCGTGACCCCTCCTTAAGGGCTCGTCTGATGAGCCCTGAGCTGCTGTCCCGTGTGTTAGGGACCCTGCCACATCTGCCAGCTGTGGTCCCAGGGGAGACCCCGTGCCGGTCTCGTCGGCACGTCTGTGTTTACGGCCAATTGGCTCTGGGCCCTTCGTCCTCTTGGGGTCTCACTGCAGTCTCGGCGGCGCCAGTTCCCCACAGGCAGCATGAGCGGTGGCTGTGCCAGGTCACCCCGGATTGCAGGACCAGCGGCAGGACTGGGCTCCAGTGTTGACCGGGAAGGCCGTGTGTCCTTGCCCTTCGCCACAGCCTCCTCCTGGAAGCGTCCTTTCTTCTTCTTGCCCATGAAGTTATCGAGCTGGAGACTGGGGAGAAGGGCCAGCCGGGCAAGCCCATGCGTGGCGGGTGCCTTTTCTGTGGTGTGCAGAGTGCGGTCTCGCGCTGCCGGGTCTTCTCACCCAAGGCGAGCCAGAGCCTGGGTCTTCGTGTGGAATCCCCTGGCTCTGGCCAAAGCTCCTCTCCCACACCTTCCTCCACCTTGCGCTGGAGCCCGTGAGGGGCCTTTCTCCTCTGGGCCTTTCTGTGTTTATCTTTCTCTTCTTAATATTGGCAAACGAAAACATGGCGCGAAGATTGACCATCAGAGGCCGGGCACACTTTAGTGGCACAGCTGTAGAAATGCTCCACACAGTAGGCGTTTTTTGGCCAAGGTAGATGCTCACCGTCCTCCAGTTTACAGCTGCTTCTAGAAGTTCAGGGAACAGAAACTGGGAAGAGGCTGACCAGCTGGTTTCCACAGCAGCCTCCCCAGGCAGGACTGTGTCAGTGTCAGCCCTGGGCCGAGGCTCCAGCATTTGTTTAAACCGCCCGACACAGTGCATACGTAGGGAGCTGGGGTTGAGCTCTCGTCCCTGTGTTTCCTGTGCCTGTGCCCTCATGAGTCAAAACGCAGCCATCCTGGAGAAGCTCCTGGAGGGACTCCTGCCTGCCTGCGGGGAGCCCTGGGGAGTCCGGCCCCCAGAAGGTGGCCTGGTGGTAACCCTGCTGGCCGAGGAGGGGTGAACGGTGTCCTGGATCCCCCGGCGCAGAAGCCAGGAGGTTGCAGCTGGGCTGGGTAGGCCTTGCTGTCCAGCCAGGCCGGGTGGGGGAGCAGAACTGTAGGAGCAGGCCCCGGGCCGGGGCCTCAGGGCGCAGAAGTCAGGAAAACAGGACCCTGCAGCCATCTCCAGCCGGGTTCCCAGTGTCACCGAGTGTTTCTGTTTAGACACCGATATGGTCATCATCTACCTGTCGGCTGGCGTCACGTCCAAGGACTCCTCCGAGGAAGATAAAAAGGCGACGCTCCGAGCCATCAACGAGGAGAACAGCTTTCTGAACAACTCCGTGATGATCCTCACCTACGCCCTCATGAACGGTAGGCAGCGTGCCAGCCTTGTCTTGCAGATGAAACTTCCCTCTAGGTGGACACTGCTTAACAAAAAGAAAGAGACGTGCTCTAGTGAGGGTGTCCCAGAGCGGCCGCGCTCTTCCTGTGCCCAGTGCCTGGGATGAGCGTCTTCATACTGATCTCATGTACCGTGCGATCCCACCCCCGCACACACAGTCACTTTCTCGGGTTGCCTTTGTGTAACCACAGCCAGCCCCTCCTGTGGCCCTGAGCACTAATCCATTCCCGTTTTTATAGTATTGCTTGAATGCCAGTATGTGGGGTCTGATAAACTGGTAAACTCAAAGCAGTGCCATTCTCTCCCTCCAAGCTGCACCCCCCACACCACCTGTGCTGTGCTGCACTCGCCTCCCCGCTGAGCACACAGCCTCTCCGGCCTCCGGCCTGGCCCTTAGTGTTTGAGGAAGCCGTGTCCTTGCATCGCAGAGCCCAAGTCCACACTGCAGCCTTTCCCCCTCTGACCCTTTATTCTTTTCCCCACTCCCAAAGTTCTTTGTTTTAGTGTTATGGATATTTTGGGGGTGCTTTGAAAATGTTGGAGGGTTCTGGCATCTAGGGCTTCACCCTTCGTCCTGTTTGGTGACCACACCTGCAGGCCCCGGCTCTGCTGTCCTCACTGGAAGCCCCACCTGCGTTTCCAGCTGTGTGGCTCAAGTTACTGGTGCCTTTCCACCTCAGTGTTGCCTGTGCTGGGAGCATACTGAAATCTGTCGCGCGGGCTTGGGAACTGAAAATCACACAGCGTACGTAGGACGTATGTCTGACGTCATTAACAAGGACTGTGGGAAACATCAGGTCTTCCAGGCCAGCTGGAGGAGAGAGGAAGAAGCTTGCTGACCAGGGCCAGCTCCGTGCTCAGCTCTGTCCGCAGCTGTACATCTGCCTGATGACCACATCTTCCCCTGTGTTGCGTTCAGTGTCCTCTATTCCCTGGCCTTCCACTTTCTGCCAGAGCGTGTACATGGATCACAGGCGGAAAATGTGTGTCCATTGTCTCTGAGTCCTGAGCACCCGGCACAGGCTGAGCCCATGCTGCTGTGGTCCCCAGCGATGCCTCCCCCAGCTGCACACCCTTTGGGGCCATCGCTGGCCACGGTCAGCTGCCTTCACTCACGCAAGGAGGAAGGGAGGGAGGCAATCCAGGAGAGCCTACAGTGTCACCACGCTGAGGTTTCAGTGCTGCCCAATGCAGAGTCCCTGTCTTCAAGATGCTCGTCACCCAGAGACCAGAACAGACGCGGCAGATGGCCCGAACATGTCAGGCGTGAGGAGGCCCAGAGGCAGCCATTGCTCCTTCTCCATGAGACGTGGAGGTCTGGTGACTGAGGCCACCACCTATCCCTTCACTGTGCCGCATCCTCCCACCAGGTTCTCCTGTGGGTGGCTGTGAGCCACACCCTGAAACCCTAGTGTCTCCCATTCACCCTCTTTTAGTCCAGCCAGCTGCACTTCCGGTTGGGTCCCCCCTTCAGTCACCCATTGCGCTCCGGGTGAGGCCTGGAAGCTGAGGATTTTGCAGACCGCTCTGGTGCCTGGGTGTGGATGCTCTGGAAGCTTTGGCACACTGCCGATCATGTCTGTCCTCGGGGACAGAGAGTGGCCTGCCTGGGGTTCTGCTGATGCAGCCAGAGAAGAGTGGCGTGAACTGCACCCGGCCGGTCCTCTTCCTTCGCCTTTCAACCTGGCAGCCTTGACTTCTGCCATCTTGAACTTGGCGCATACGCCCAGGGCTTCCCGGGGAATGTCGTTTCCAGCATGACATTTCCTGACGGAAGGACCAAGAAGCACACGGCACTTGGTAACCTTCTGTCCTGCACTGCTCTGCTTTGCCAGTGGCTCTTTTGTTCATCACCTTTTGCATGTTGAGAGGTCCGCATACAGTAATGTCTGACAAAGGAAGGAAACACGCTCACTGCCAGAGCTGTTCCCTGCTGTGTTTCTCCTCTGTGAGCCTCTCCAGGAAGTGAGGTCCGGGTGGGTCCTGGCTGACCATGGTCTGCTGCAGACACCCTGACCTTCCTGCCTCGGCTCCGCAGCAGGCGGAGGGAACAGTAATCTTGATTGTTCTGGCTTAGTTTGGCCCAGGTATTCTTTCCATTGCACGAGTGGTGTGAAGTCCAAGTTTATCTAAATACGGTGTTTTAAAAGACAGAGTGTATCCAATAAATCCTGTCCCTGCTTGAGAAATGGACTTCCACGGGGGAAATATGTATCTTCCCTCTGTAGAAAGGATAAAAACACTATGGTAGGTGAGCCGTGAAGACATTTGATTCCTTTTAATGTCTGAAGCTTTGTGGTTTGCCATTAATCTTCAAGAGTATGAAGCCAGAATGTTTTTAAATCAATGGAAGGATCTCAATAGAGACTAAAATCATTTGAATTTGTTTACTGCGATACCCATATGAGATCGGTTACTGATCCTTTTGACTAGGTTCCAACAATAGCAAACTTTAAAAGGTGGTTTATAAAATTTATTTTTGTACTATAGATTTCAGATGTTCTACGACAGTACCTACCCGTCTGCCCTAATTTTCTAAGTTTTCAAAGCCCCAAAATATAAAAAATATACATTAAATAAATCAAATTCAGTATTCTAACAATATCGACCATGGAAACATTTGTAATAAACATGAGCTCTTAAAGGAACAGGATTTTGAACCATCACTAAATGCAAACCATGATTATTTTCATTTAGTTTCATGAAATTTTAGCAAGTGGTTTTATAAGCAAAGAAAGAATAAAATGGTAAACTTCTATGCTTTAAAGCTCTTACAGTTTCACCTACTATTTTAAATTAAATGCAGGCTTGTTACCCATTACTTTTGCTTTTATATATTAAATGCAGCAAAAGAATTTAAAACCTATAATTAAACTTTTTGAGGAGAGCACACCCCTACCAGATGGGATCCTTTATCTACCGACGGGCCTTTCACCGTTAGCTCTAGAAGAGGCCCTCGGCCCTGCTGACCATGGAAGGCACAGTGCTCAGCCTGTTCTTCATGGAGGAAGTGTGATCCGTATCCCTGCTCCTGTCATCCCTGCACAGCCACAGAGGAGTGAGGAGTCAGATATGCTGGGCCAGAAAGGCAGGACGAGCGCGTGTAACCAGCTGCTCCCGCCGTCTCCCTTGCTTTACTTTCAGATGGGGTGACGGGTCTGAAGGAGTTGGCTTTCCTGCGGGACCTGGCTGAGCAGAACTCGGGGAAGTACGGGGTGCCTGACCGCAGTGCCCTGCCCGTGACCAAGGGCAGCATGATGGTGCTTAACCAGCTGAGTAACCTGGAGACCACGGTGGGCAGGTTCTACACCAATCTTCCCAACCGCATGATCGACGAAGCCGTCTTCAGCCTCCCCTTTTCCGACGAGATGGGAGATGGTGAGTCTGGGAACTTGCTGCCAAACAGGAAGTGAAGACAGGTGGGCCCACTCTATCTGGAGCCTGGACTGCTGTATCCTCAGCCCTCTAACCTTAACGTCACACTGGGGAGCAGAAGTCCCCGCCCTGTCCTTCCTGTTGCCCTGGATGCAGTGGCACCAGGGCTTGAGGGTGAGGCTTCTGAGGATTCTCTAGTGTCCACACATAGTCAGCTGGGACCCACAGGCCCCTTTGCACCCTGAGTGTGCAAAGTGAGGTGGCCTTGGGATCCCTCCAAAGGCAGGTGGCACTGTGCAGCCTGGCTTGGATGAGCTCTCAAACCCCCGTCTCCCACCAAAGTCTTTGGTGACATGTGTAATCTCAATAATTCTCCATTTGTTCATCTGCCAGATGAGGAATAAATCTTCCAAGTGTTCAGAATCAGTTAGATTACAAATAACATTTTGGTAACAGGCATACTACCCAACCATGTGTGTTTTACTAACTTTTTTGTGGGGAGGTACCGGATTTCGAACTTGGGTTCTTGAGCTTGCACAGCAGGCGGTGGAACCCCTGAGCTAAATCCCCAGCCCTTCATTTTATTTTTTAATGTACCTTTTTTGTTATTATGATACCCATAATGTAATATCGAGAAAAGTATTTCACTTCATACGACCCAATATCCTGATCTAAAAGAATGGGAAATAGATTTCCTTTGGAGAAGTTACAAAGATGACATATGTGCAAAGTTGCTGTTGATGGCTGGCCAACAGCACATTCACAGTGAAAATACAGTCTTTTTCTTTTCTTCCTCATGTTCTCGCTTAACCTTTCCCTATACCCTTCACAGAGAAGACTGAAGGGAAGCTAATTCCTACCCAGACAGCAGCATCACAATCCAACATTTTGTGTTACATTCAGTTAATAGGAACTCTCATATATATGGGTATTCAAAGAAAACTGACTTGTAAAGAGTAGCAAGCCCAGAGGGAATGTGTTTCCCAGAAACAAGTAAACATATTCTTCTGTGAAGAAGAAATAGGGAACTGCTGTTAAAACTCAGGTTCTATCCCTGCTCTTTCTAATGGGACCTACAGGTGTAGAATGGGAATTCCTACCTTTCAGGAAGGTTATTTTCCTGCCAAGTTAAAAGATTATATTCCAAACACAGTTGGCTTTTCATGCATTCATTAGTATTGCCACGGACCACCCCACTCTGTGCCAGGCATGGTGGGTAAGGCACGCATCTTACATCTGATAGGAGAAACACAGATGAGAAATTCTACAATGACTATCCTGAAACCTAGCTCCTTGGAAACTCAGGAGTAAACAGCCAAATTCTGTTATCACTGGGAGGGTGAGGTCCTTCCTAAACTTCACCTCTGCCACCCCAGGAGCTATTCCGCAGGCTTTAAGCTGAAGTATGTATAAAATCTTGGTTGCCTGTTGGCTGATGGTGTCCAAATGTTGGTCCTGAGGGCCTGGGCTGTGAATCCACATTTAGAGATCTATGGAATTCACCTAATAGTGTGTGCCTTTTCGTTCTGTCTCCAGCCCTTAGAAGTACTGGGCAACACATGCTCATGATGTGAGATGTCGGTGTAAAGAAGCCCACGGCTCTGATTCAAAGCCACCACAGATTAAAGTATCACTTTCTGGACATTTAATTTTCAAAAGCAACTCTGTGTGCTTGAGGTTAAGGTGGAGCATTTGAGAATTTTGTACATGTGGCAGGAATTCACATACCATTCAAATTCCATTTGCCACATAGTGCAGAAGTTGGAGTATGTTTCTTTTTTTAAAAACTTTGTCTCAACGTGTCCAGGAAACAGAAATTCAGAACGCGTGTGCTTTCTGGTCATGGGGTATTCCTGTGGAGCTTTGCTGATCTGTGCGAATGGCTGTAGTCGGGGTGAGGATGTCGCTCAGCCGTGGGCACTTGCTCCACATGCAGGAGGCCCTGGGCTCTGTCCCCAGAGCCGCAACAGAAACAAACGTGGCTCTAATCTTAGCAGAGGTCCCAGGGAAGTTTGGCCTTCATCGCGGGACTATGTCACCATGCCAGCCCTCAGAGCGCTGCTCCTCACACTCGCCATCCCTTCACCGGGGAGTCCTGAGGGAGAACCTCCCCCGCAGAATTCACCTAGACCCTTGTGCAGGCTGTGTTACTTTGCAGTGTTTTAAAGCAGAGGAAACACGTTCTAAATGTGACCTGCTTCGAGAGTGCTCTCAAAATCAGCAGACACCCAGTGCGTGCCTTGTCACAGACTTCCACGCAGTGCCCATTTCCTCCCCTGCTCATGGTTTAGAAAGGCCAGCTGCCTCTCCTGGGTGTGGGAGTTAGGTTTAGGGTTAGGGTTTCGGGTCAGCCGTCAGCTCGGGGGAACACAGGATCCAGACAGAGATGCCGTCTGCCTCTGGGTTCGGAGCCCTGCAAGGGTGGTGCCGTGGGGCAGGGCAGATTGTTCTGTCTCCAGCCACTCTGGCCCATCAGGGCCTCCATCATCAAGGTGGCCGGGGGAGCCCGATGCCAGGAGCTGGGCTGTGCCCTCCCTGCCACACAGTGTCCCTCCTCCTGCACGTTCGCCTCCTGTGTGCTCTTCCTTTGCCTTAAGTATCGCAGGGCTTTTGTACATCCCGTGAGCTAAGTATGGTTGTGTATTTTGATGAAATTATTTTTCTAAAAAAGAAAATGTACTCGAGACTGATGAAACCTGACGCACTTACTCTCCCGCCCTGTCCATGAGAGTGTGGGGACTCCTGGCCTACCTGGACACGTTTCTTCAGAAGCTGGATTTCTCCATCACCGCTCAAAGTTCCATGAGGTGGATTCTTCCCTCTGTGCAATGCCCGGTCTCTCAGTTCCTGAGGGCATCAGGGATCTTGATAAACGGTGCCTGTGCAGAGTTCCTGTCTCTTGCTCTAGAATCTCCTAGAAACCAGGAAAGCCGTTGCCGCTGTGTCCCCAACACTTACGTGCGGGCAGGGCTCAGAGACGTCCTGAGACCCCAGACTCCCCACTGCATACGGTGAAGGTTTAAATTCACATTTATTCCGGTAAAAGACAGAGTGCCCTTGATCTGCCTCACAGTCCTCCTCCCCCTTCTCCTCCAGCACACTCTTCCTGTCACCTGGCCACTGCCGCAGCTCTGGAGTGCTCTTTCCTGAGAGTCTATAGTGGCGCTGACTTGGCTGCCTCAGTGTCCTGAATGGATTCCAAACGCTTTCCTTTTATGGCCATTTTGACTTTGGGGAAGAGTCAGAAGTCGCAGGTGCCAGATCTGGTGAATTAAGTTGGACGAGATAACAGCGTCTTGTTTTTATGAGCTGCCTTTCTGCTGCATGTGTTTTTGATCACACTCCAGAAAGAGGGCTCCAGAGCTGCTGCAGAAAGTGAAAAGGATGAGTGAGTTCAAAGTGGGGAGAGTTTCTGGAGGGGACGAGTGGCAACGTATCTTTTGCTCTAATACACACTTTAAGGTGAAACATTCACCGTGTATTTTGTTCATGCCTCCTTCTCTCTGGCAAAAGCAGGGGTCGTTCCTGCGTCACGTGGGAAGTTTTTCTCCCAAGCGGAGCTGAGACTGTGGATGTTTTCTTCTGCTTCCCTGGAGCACTTTCCAGAGCCTTCCTGTCCAGCCTTTTAAAAATGATGTTTCGTTGCACAGGTTTGATAATGACCGTGAGTAAGCCCTGTTACTTTGGAAACCTCTTGCTGGGCATCGTGGGGGTGGACGTGAATCTGGCCTACATCCTTGAAGATGTAACCTATTACCAAGACTCCCTGGCGTCCTACACATTCCTCATAGATGACAAAGGTAATGGGCTGAGCCTCAGTCCCTCCCTGAGCTTCTCAGAGACAGTAAAGATGGTGTTTAAAGAAAAGCAGTGTGGCTAGGACCAGTACCATGAAGACGGCAGTCAGTCTGCGAAGTACACGGGTCTCTGTGTTGTGTGGAGGGTGGGTACGGTTCTTTGTAACATGGGATCCTGGCTGGAAGTGGTGCCCCAGACCCATAACCCTAGCAGGTGGGAGGCTGAAGCAGGGCCATCTCTCTGGGCTCGAGGCCAGCCTGAGCTACGTGACAAGACCCTGTCTCATAAAAAAATAAAATAAAAGGGTGTGGTCCTTTGGGTCATGTCCAACCAATACCCCACCCTTCGTTTTCTTTTCTGCTCTTTTTTGTCCAAAGAGGAATTATTTTGGGCCACATATAAAATATACAATATAATCTATATGTCTCAAAATTTATTTTTAAATTTTTTCATTATAATATTAAAGTAGGCAATAAAAAATGCAGGTTTGCCAGCTGCATGGTTTTTTGTTTATATTGTTATCTTTAGATTTATTGGCACTGGGTTCATGTGGCAGATCAGAACATTTCATAAATTGAAAACCAGTACTGCCAAAATATTCTCAGTAACGTACGGCCCCTCCTGCTCTGCGGGCATCTCATGTAAGCGCGTAACGAGCAGCATGGGCTTTGCTTGGACTGGTGCGTGGCACAGGGAGGGGCCTGGATCTGGAGCGCGGGCGCTGTGGTGGCACCAGGGCTCCCACCGCGGCTCTCACCGCGTACTCTGCTTCCGGTTCCAGGCTACACGCTGATGCACCCGTCTCTCACCAGGCCGTACCTACTGTCCGAGCCCCCGCTCCACACGGACATCATCCACTATGAAAACATCCCTAAATTTGAGTTGGTTCGGCAGAATATCCTAAGGTAAGAGATAGGGGAGTCATAGCTTTTTTTTTTCTGAGAGGGGACTTAATGAGTTCAGAATGAGGGGCAGCACAAAATACACAGTGTTTAGATTTTTAGAGCATAGTACAGGAAAGGATACATTGCCTGGAGTGGTCGAAGTGAGGGAGTGTTTTGAGTGTTAACCTTTTACTATAATAAATGTATGTAGACATTGACCATGTTTGTTACCCTTCTTGATCAAACATTTACGGCCATTTCTGTCAAATAAAAGCATGACGCTGTGTCCTTATCCAACTTGTTCACCAGATCTAGCACAGTTTGACTTCTGTCTCCCCCCGCCCCCGAATTAAAAATCACCAGGAGGGCTGGGGACTTAGCTCAGTGGTTCTGCTGCCTGTCTCGCAGCACAAGGACCTGAGTTGGATCCCCGGTGCCAATAAATAAATAAACCAACCAACCAGGAAAGGGAAGTGTTCTGAATCCATTCAGGATATCGAGGCAGCCAGGACAGTGCAACTAAAGACCCTCCGGAGAGAGGACTCCAGAGCTGCTGTGGGAAGCGGCCAGGACGGTGGGACGAGTGTGCTCGAAGGGAGGGGGAAGAGAAAATAATCATAATGTGTCTTTTACTGTAATATATTTATACATATATATGTTTTGTTTTGTTTTGTTTGTTTGTTTTGGAGACAGGGTCTCACTAGGTAGTTGAGACTGACCTGGAACTCACTATGTAGCCCAGGCTGGTCTCAAACTCGCAACAATCCTCCTGCCTCCCAAGTGCTGGGATTACAGGTGTGCCCCACCACGCCTGGCTGTGTAATATGTATTTTTTAATTAAATACCATAGTTTTCAGGTGAGGGTTTACTATAGAGTATAGGACAAGTATATAATCATTTTGTTGCTATCAAAATATTCTGAGTACTTTTTTCAAGAGGCTACTAGGTAAGATTTTCTTGGCTTCATGTAGTAGACAAAGTGTCAGAACTATTGTTTGCTTATAAAGTCTTACAAAGCCAATTTGACTTTCATATTCTTTTTAATTATAAAATAAGCTCTATGATATCATTTTTAAAAAATACTCTGAGCTGGGTGTGGTTGTGCACGCCTTTAATCCCAGCACTTTGGAGGCTGAGGCAGGCGGTTCGCTGTGAGTTCGAGACCAGCCTGGGCTGCATAGTGAGTTCCATGTCAGTCTCAACTACATAGTGAAACCCTGTCTCAAAAAACTAAACAAAACAACAAAATACCCTGGCTGTAACAAACTAGAAAATATCAGCAAGAATAAAAGTTTAAGTGAAGGACTAGCCCTGCTGCATTTGCCAAAAAATCATTCGGCAAAGTCCTGTCCGTTCAAAGCTCCACAGCTCCTCCGAAATCAGCAGGGCCCAGGACGCTGGTCTTCTGGCTGGCCCGTGTGAAGCACCTCATCTTACCTTCCGTTTCTGTTTCCCGGCCAGCCTCCCCCTGGGCAGCCAGGTCATCTCTGTCCCGGTGAACTCGTCCCTGTCCTGGCACATCAGCAAGCTGCGGGAGGCGGGGAAGGAGACCTACAACGTCAGCTACGCCTGGAAGATGGTGCGTGGGGCGGCGGCACAGTCCTCTCCCCGGGGCACTGGGGGCTGGGGCAGCACGAGAGCCTCCCTCAGGTGCCCGCGATCCTCTCCTGCGCTGTTCATAAAGCCAGCAGTTGCTCAAGATGGATAAACCCAAGCATAGAAAGTGAACGATGTGCTTCCCTCTGCCTTGCCTTTGACCTCCTATTCCACACCAGAACCACTTGGGTTCATTTCCAGAAAATCAGGCGCGCACGCATGTGTGTGTTTGGACATACACGTGCACAGGCCTGAACAGCTATAGAATATCACACTGTACAGATAGGACACCTTTCTTTACCCAGTCGCCTGTTACTTTATTCTACATACAGGTCAGGTTTTTTTAATCATTTAAACTCAAATTAAGGAAGTTGGGTTTTAAAAACAAAAAAAGGAGATAACGAAAATCTGGTCATGGTGCACACAGCTCAGTAGGCTGAGGCAGGAGGATCACAAGTTCAAGCGTAGCCTGGGAAGCTTTGTGACTTAGTTAAAAGTTAAAATTTTTGAAAAGAACCTCTGTGCCCACTTTCTCTTCCAAGCCTCCTTCAGCAGCTGGGCCTCAGCGAACCGTACAGAAGCAGAACCCAGCACACCCTGTCCACATCGCTGTGTTGCTCCCCCTCCTCTACCTCCCCAGTGTGCCATGCTGATGCTGTTGTGGGCCCTGCGTCTGTAACTGGCCAAAAGAGGAAAGCTCTGCTTTTCTGTGGTCCGGTCGTAGTCATTAAACTTCAGGTGCTGGCATAGCTACCATCCAGCCTGCTGTCTCCAGATGGATCACTGTCCATCCCTTTACGAGCAAGTGTACATCAGGAGGTTAAGTTCTTGTGATGCTGTCTCCCCAGCATCGACCTCAACCTCAAGGTGGACACCAGTAATCAGAGTGCACCTTGACTTTGAAACTCAGTCCCTTCCTGAGGGCTGGCTGTGACTCCAGTCGGTCAGTGGAGGCCCAACTCCTCCACACGGCCTTCAGAGTCTCTCTCCTGCACACAGGCCGATCTCAGGGACTTTAGAGAGACCCCGGCCCAGGATTTCTCGTTAACCCCACACAGGAGAGGATGCTGTGCTGCTCCTTCCAGGACTCTTGACAGTGAAGTCTGTATCTGAGGCCATCTGGAAGCACAGGTAGCCGGCATTTGGACCGTAACTCAAGACTTTGGTCGTAACTAAAAACTAAAATTCCAGACAAAACCCAAGTTGTTGATATGTCAGGCCGGTCACAACTTGGGGTCCACAGTAAACAGAGCCCCACGTGCCATCGGCATCTGGGACGGGAACCCACAATCCTCAGCCTTCCTGTTTGGTTCTCAGAGTATCATTCTGGCATTGCCAACTAAGCAGTAAGCAACCAGAAGCAAAACCTGAAACAGTGAAAGTATTTGAGAAGTTTATGCTTACAAGCTATTCTCTCGGCATTTACTGCTCGGAAATACAAATTTGAGGGGCAGGAATCTAGTTTGAAACCTTTTAGCCACTCCTCTTATAGCTTTTCTCCCCTTAGAATCTGGCACCAGCTGCCCTTATCTTTAAATTTGTATAATTATTGAACATTAATTGCTTCACTTTCATATGAGAAAGGATGAGCCTGCTACCGAAATTCTTTGCCGAAAACTAGTCCTGAGATTGTTGGCCTCCAGAAGCACTCACTTGCATCTCCCGAGAACTTCCATGTTGATGCCTGTGGATGCTGGGAGAGAAAGAAGACCGCGTAGGCATCTGTGTGACCTCGGCCCTGTTCGTAAACCCAGTGTCACTACTTTGGAAGGAGGTGTCCTCTTCCAGAGCCCTTTTCACCGTGATACTGATAGCTTCTGGCCGCCCTGGATGCAGTCACTCCGGGGGAAGTGTGAGCTCCCTGTAGTTCTGAAATGGCCCAGCGATCCCTTAGTGAAAATTCAGGAAGCAATGAGATTCAAGATGAAAGTAAGTGGCTTGCCAGTTACCTAGTAACAAGGGCAGATACTGTCAAGCTTCCTTGAGTTACGGAGAGCAGGTTCCCATCTTGTCCTGAAGATCGGGTGCTAGTCGCATAACCTAAGGGGCACTCTTGGTGCCAAGAGCGAAGGGCCGCCCAGCCCACACTGCTGCGTTGGGTCCGGAATGTATCTCAGTGCTCCCGCGGGCTGTTAGTGGCCTCGAAAGATCGCTCTAGCACTGGGTGACCCAGGCCTGCTTTTGAGCGCCTGACGAGGCCGTGTGGCAGAGGAGGGCTGCGTGTGACAGGGCAGGAGAGTGTTTCCGGGACGTTCCCCTCCGAGCCGGAGCCCGATTGCCAGCAGTGAACAGCGCGGCTTCCTGGAAAGGCTGCGGTCCCTTTCCGTGCAGCGGAGAACGCGAAGGAAGACCAATACAGAAGCATGTTCTCCTGAGGAGTATTTTAGGTTGCTACCTTTAGAACCGTAGGGTGGCCTTTCCCTTTTCTCTTCTGGAATAGACCCATTTCAAAGTCGTGTTCTGTTTTTCTGATCGGGCTTTGTTCCTCCGCTCACGGGAGCCTGTGACAGGCACGCTCAGGGTAAAGACGACTGGGAGAAAGAGCAGAGGCTGCTCGCTCTCTACGTGGGACGTGAAGGAAGGGGGGGTGGATTTGCTGATCTAACTGCGTGTCTTTGCCAGCAGCCCTCTAAAGCGGTTGTAGGAGGATACAAGTTGTTCTGTGTTGAGATCGCGCAGCCCTTCCTGGAACCTTCAGTTGCTCTTAGTCTGGCCTGCCTCGCATGCAATTTCCCCTCAGTCGCTGAATATAAATCATTCAAGCTGCCATTTGCTTCTGACTTCTCTGGTCCTTGCCCTTGTCATTTATTTACAAGCCCTCTTCCCACGGCCCGGTATCACACTCAGCCACACTGCATCGAGTGTCCTGCCCCACAGGCAGCTGTACCACCACACAGACGGAGTGGCGGGAAGCACGGTGGTCAGTGACACCGGAGTCACCTCCGTTGTCGCTGGGTGGGGGACCCCTAGGCGCTGTCGTGACCGTCCAGCCCTGCCACTGTATGTGGTCACTTGTTATGTCTTTTGTGTGTTTGTGGTTATTTTTCTCACTGAGTCTTATTTGAGCACCTGTCTTGAGGAGGAAATGAAGACGCAAGAGCTCGAGTTTCCACACAGGAGCCAAATCCTTTAAGCTCGGGGCTCTCCCCCTGCCTGGGTCTGCAGCCCAGTGTCAGTAGGCTGTGCCGGGAGTGGTGGGCCTGCGCTTCTGGTGAACTTGAGTAGCGGCATTGGTCTCAGCTTGCCGGGAAAGCAGAAAGCATTAGCCGGGAACCCAGTGAATGAGCTAGGTTCTGTTGTGGCTTTTCACGTTTCCCCTGAGTGAGGACTCAGAGCTGACTTGTAAATAGATTGTCAGAACACTTGCTGCAGAACCAACTAGGTGTTTTCCAGCCCAGATAGAGGCGTGGTGCTGTTAGCCCTGGGGTTACCTCTGCCCTTGAATACACCATTGAGCGAAAGAGGCACCTTTCACTCGTTCATCAAATACTCCGTGAACACTTTCTAGGTGAGAGTAGAAAACCGAGCCAGCAGGAAACTCCGATGTCCTTGTCCCCACGGATCCTTTGCTTTCTGTGTTAGAAATTCTTTACTGATTTTTGCAGGTGCAAGACACGTCCTTTATTCTGTGCATTGTGGTGATACAACCGGAAATACCCGTCAAACAGCTGAAGAACCTCAACACCGTGCCCAGCAGCAAGCTGCTGTACCACCGCCTGGACCTGCTGGGCCAGCCTAGCGCCTGCCTCCACTTCAAGCAGCTGGCCACCCTCGGTAGGAACCAGCCCCAGGCCCTGCACCCTGTGCCTGCAGTGCCGGGCAGGGGACAGTGTGAGGGAAGTCAGAAGCCTCCCTTGGGTCCCAGCACCCCACAGATTCCAGGATGGGGTCTGTGTGCTGGCGATGCACTCACGCCTGTGGGAGGAGCTCTCACTGGAAACCAGAGGGGAGTAGGACGGGAAGGGGGCAATGAAGAAGTGTGGGCATAGGCGACATTCCGTCCTGCTCCCGACTCCGAGTGGCCGGGGTGCACCACGGGTGAAGGAGCCACGCTGCCACGGCTCCCCTAAAGGTCCCCTGACCTGGATGGCACTGTCCCACCGTCCTGGCCGCTTCCTGCAGCAGCTCTGGAGTCCTCTCCTGAGGGTCTTTTTCAGCTGTGCTGTCCCTGCTGCATCGATGTCCTGAACCAATTCAAAGCCTGTCTATTTCATGATCATTTTGACTTTGGGCAAGAGCCAGAAGTCGCATGGTGCCAGATGCAGGCAGTAAGGTAGACGGGACGCACTGTAGTATTTTTATCTGACAAGTTGCACGTCTGACAGGTGATAATAGATGCTGTATTAAAGCAAAGACATTGCCATTACCCCCCGCCCATACTCTCACTTATTTCAAACACAATTATTCTTGGAAATGTATCCTTCCTGTAATGAGTTCAAGGTGAACACTCACTGTGTCCTTCTGTCCCCACACACCAGAGTTTGCCTGGACTCCGCAGAGGGGCGCTGTGTTTGTCCCCGTAGTTGCTCCCGGATCCCTTCTCCTGCCAGGCGGGTGGTGTCAGTAGCCCACAGGCGGTGCATAGTCACGCGTGAGCCTTTTTCCTTTCATCACTGTGTCCCCTTTCTGGCCCTCTTGTTCTTTCCTGGGCTCCAGTGCGCTCCGCCTGGAATCAGTGGAGCAGCCCCATGTTCGTCAGATCCATCTTGGCCCCTTCATTGGACCCGCATCTCTAGGGGCTGCAGTCTGTGTGGCCAGACCCCATGGGAGGTCACAGTTCGTGAAGCAGGTGTCCCTTTGTTCCTGCTGGACATACTTGGAGCAGGCGAACTGCTCCAAGTGAGGGGCCCGTGTTGGAAGAGGATGGAGGACGGGCATCTCCACTCCGCATTCCCAGGAGAGCGCCGGAGTGGAGCTCCTCCCGTGGATCCCATTCCAGCACATTCTTCCCAGACCTGAGCTCGCTGCAGGGCCTCTTCTGCGAGTCGCTCCAGCTGTGTGCACAATTTAGAGAAAACTGGGCTATCGGTCAAAGAAGGCTGGGTTTACATTTACTAGTCTGTTTTGATTGGGGCTTTACGGTCTTTGTTTCTATACAAAAGAAGATGTTATTTTTCATACTTTTAAAAGCGCTTTACCCTTTTCTGTGCCAGCAAGCCAGACACTTCTGTGGGTGGGAAGGAGGTGGCTGTTCTAAAGCTCCAGGCTGTGCAGTGTAGCAGCTGTGTCTGGGATGGGCTTCCGCCAGATGCCATTGCTTCCTCCTCTTCCTCACAGCTTTGGGATCCAGTGTGGTGATCCCAGCCCACGGCAGCTCCTGAGCTCTGAATGGGGCCGGATCGGAAGGTCTGGGAAGTGTGAACAGCACAGCTAATTTTTACATTGGCTGTTAACAGTAATCGTATTTTTGACACGTTGGGTCCCACCAATTTGTTTTCATAATGTATTTCTTTTAGTGTGTTACTAGAAAAGTTAATTTCATTCGTGGGCTGCGTTGTATTCAGTCTGATGGCACTGCCTCTTCAAGATTACTCAGGAGCTGTAGAAGTTATCAGCCCCAGTGCTGTACGCAGTCCCTTTCCACCACGCAGGAGACCCTGTGCAGTATGGCGGGGTCACCGAGGCTGCGTAGGGTCTGTTAGTGATGAAACTAAGAGAAATACAAGAAAAAGAGAATGGAAAACAGGACATTGGGGTGACTGATTTCCTTAATGGTGAGGATTTTGAGATTTGGGGAGATTAAATATATATGTCAGAGCTGCCTTCAAGAGGGGTGGTGGAAATACATCACAAAAAAGACAAGAATTTTTGGACAAGTGCATCATCTAGGCAAACATGATGATACAGGCCTGTAATCTTAGCACTCTAGGAAGCTGAGGCAGGAGAACTCCCAAGTTCAAACCCAGTGTGGCCCTGAGTGACTTAGTGAAACACTGTGTCAAAAATAAACAGTGAAAGAAAGGGCTGGGGATATGAAGTGTGAAGGCCCTGGGTTCAGTCCCCCATACCACCTCTCCCCCAGTGTGCGTGCGTGCGTGTGTGTGTGTGTGTGTGTGTGTGTGTGTGTCTCCTGGACAAAGGGCCCAAGGCCCTGGCTTCATGTCTTCATTTCTGTTTTTGCTCCATCCTACTCTTGCAGCCTTTTCTAAAACCTCCGTCTCTCGCTTCACAAAGGCTGTCAGGCGTGGTGACACACACACACTCCCGTAATCCAGCGCACAGGAGGATCGCCGTGCTGTTCTGTGGTTTTCCTCTATCTTCCTGGTCCTTTGTCTCCTGGACTGGGTCTGAAGCCCCTGGAGCTCAGGGACCATCCCTGCCATCTTCTGGTGCATCCTTGCTTGGAGGGCACACAGACAAACCTGCCGAGTATTAGGGACAGCCTGGCCTTCGCAGCCTCCCTCCACCGTGCCAGCAAGCTCCCAAGATACCCTAGGAGATGTCAGCAGAACCAGCAGGAGATCACACGACGGGAAGCTGTCTCCTGCGCGTGGCAGACTGGGTCTTGTGGACCCGTCCTGAGAACCCTGGGTGGGCGCGTAATCCTGGGTTAAACCTTGGAAATCACTGTAGAACCGTGGGGATGGTGAGGAACGACGGGGTGAACCCAGGGAAGGGCACCCTGGGGACCATTCTTGCCGTGCACGGCTCTGCCCGCCTGCTTGAGGACGCTTCTTGGTCCCGGGAATAGGGGCAGAGAGGAGCGGAAAGTAAGTGGCTATGTGCTGGGGCCGTTCGCCCGGGCGGGCCGGGCAGTGGCCTGGTCCACAGTGAAGTCAGTGTTGTTCACACCCGCGTTTCTACCACCTGCCCAGCCTCCTGCAGCTCGGACCTCGGCAGACTCCACCCTGCCCAGGGCTCCTCCTGAGAAGGACTCCGTGCCCTTAGCTTCGGGCTATCCCTGCAGACTCCTTCGGAGTGTTCGTTTGTTTGTTTGTTTTTAACTCAAGTGGTATTTCAGTCTTACACCCAAGTACAGTCCAGGTCCCAGTTTAGGCCCATGTGATGGCACACGCCTATCATCTCAGCACTCTGAGAGGCTGAGGCAGGGAAATCCCCAGCCTGGGCAACTTAGCAACTTAGGGAGACCCTGCCCTGCCTCAATTTAACAATTTTTAAAGTAGCTCAGTGTGAAGGTCCTGGATTCGATCTCCAGTACTAGAAAAAATACTCTCCAGGCTATAAGGAAACAAGATAGCATGGGGGAGAATGGACGAAAGGAATAAAAAAATGACCCATGGTTTAAATAAGACGGTGCTTTCTAGTGCTTTCCTAAAACACGAGATTGAACAGTGGAAATTCCAGAAAGATTTCCTGGTTTTGTGTCTTCAATAGGGAACTGCGCTTTTCTGTCAGACAGGACAGGAGTCGTTACCGGTGCGGCCCACTCCGGTTTATGTTCGGTTGAGCTACTCCGTGGCAAGCGTCAGACTTGAGTTTGATTTTTGCGGTGGTGCCTCTGCTCGCTCTTTCTTCTCCTAATTAACACCCATCGCGTTGCTGGGATAGATGGAGATGGCCGTCCTTGCTGAGCACCTGCGTGTGCCCAGCCCTCTGCCCCACACTGTGCCCGTGATGTGTTTTCACCGTCACCTTCGGTTCAGTGCCATTGTTCCCCTGCTCTGGGTGAGAAACTGGTCCGGGTCCAGCTCTCAGTGGGGCCCAGTTCCACCCTGCCTGGCTGCAGGTCTCTGCCTCCCTCGTGGGACCGTGCACTCCAGCAGCAGCGAGCGCCATCGCCCTTGCGGTTTGGCTGGGCCCGCGTTCCAAGGCCCTGTCCCCACGTTGTCTTGCAGAGAGCCCCACCGTCATGCTGGCGGCCGGCAGCTTCTCCTCTCCCTACGAGCACCTCAGCCAGCCTGAGACCAGGCGCATGGCGGAGCATTACACCGCTTACCTCAGTGACAACACCCGCCTCATCGCCAACCCGGGGCTCAAGGTAGCACTCGGCGCGTGTGGGCCTGAGTCCTGCTGGGGCCTCTGGAGGGGTGGGGTGGCCGAGGCCCTGGGCCTTGGGAGCGAGGCTCGGCTGGGGTTTCCGGGGCAGGGTAGGGGTGCACTCACGAGACCAGCGGAAACTTCCCGCCCCGGTTTTCCCAGGGGAAGGACGAGGAGGCCCCCGCTGTGTGGATAAACTCAAGTGGGTGTCTCGCGCCTCCCCCGTGGGATTTTTTCTACTTAAGCCCAGGCACCGGCGAGGGTGGCCAGCAGCGACCATCTGTTTTTGTGAACCTCTGTCTTTCCTGAGTCTGGCTGCATCCCCCTGCCGTGGAGGACTTTCAGACTTGGCCTTGGCTTCTCTGGGAGACAGCGCTGGCCGCTCGGCCAGCCGCCCTGCTCTTTCATGTGATTCTCACGGAGCCCCGCCGTGTCCCCCTTGGTTGCCAGTTCTCTGTGCGGAATGAAGTGATGGCGACCAGCCACGTCGCGGACGAGTGGATGGCACAGACGGAAGTGAGCAGCCTGAACGCGTACATTGTCCGCCGTTACATAGCAACGCCCAACGGCGTCCTCAGAATCTACCCCGGCTCCCTCATGGACAAAGCCTTCGATGCCACTCGGAGACAGTGGTGAGTGGGCTGCCCCCTCGCACGGTGGGGGCACGCAGCCCGGCCAGCTCACAGTCACATCCCGGGGGACGCCTCCCGGGCGGGGGACCTTGGTCACCTCCGCTGTGGCACTGCGCGCAGCCAGGTGGGTTTTCTCTGCCTGCAAAGCTCCTGTCTCACGGAGGCTTGGAGCCCGGCCCGGCGAGTGCATGCCCTGTGCGATCCCTGCCTCTCGTGGCGTGTCCTCCTTAGCGGTGGAGAGCAGCTTGCGTCACGTGGCCCTGGCATCAGATTGTAGCTCGGGCGTGACCTGCACCAAAAATACAGAAACATTCTTTTACTTGTGGGATTTGTTCTAGTCTGATCTGCAAGAATGCAACATTGCCGGGTGCATTGTTTCTACCTCGTTCATTAATCCCTTTTTTATTTTAGCCTCTAAGACCTCTGTAGTGCAGATCTGGGTAAAAGCTCAGGCCTACAATGAGTTTAGTATCTGTTCTGAAGAGAAGGGATTTCACCTTCCCTTCACCTCATGCTGATGCTGCCGTCAGACACAGACAGGAGAAACCCTGGGGTTCCGTACCACAGACCCAGTTAGGATAACTGCATTACCGGGTTGCCCTTGCTCACCCTCCCTGGGCACTGCCAGTGTCTTTGCCCCTCCAGCCCGTCTGTGTCCCCCCCTAGGTATCTCCACGCAGTGGCCAATCCGGGCCTGATTTCTCTGACCGGCCCTTACCTGGATGTCGGAGGAGCCGGCTACGTCGTGACGATCAGCCACACGATCCATTCTTCCAGGTAAAATTGTAACTGATTTGTGGTCATTGCAGATCCGTGCGGAATAGTTTCCAACTCAACAGAATGGGAGGCGCCTAGCCTCCTGCGGTCTGTGAACGGAGTGACTGGGACTCGGGTCCTCTCAGGGCTGAGCTTGGCCGCGTGTGGCAGCTGTGAGAGGGGAGGACCACGCTGGTGTGCGGAGCGCTCTCACAGGAGCCCGGGTTAGCAGAGGCTGCCTAGGTTCTCCCGAGCTGAGAGCACTTGTGACAGAAGAGAGTGCAGAGCATCAGGCTATCGCTGTGGTATTTGGGCCTAAGTCTTTGGAGTTATGAGAGTTGTTTCCTTTGTAATTTGTCCTGGAAACTGTCTGCTGAAAGAACGGGCTTTTTGGAAATTGATTTTCCCAGAACGCCGCGTGATGTCGCTGTCACTGTAACGCAGCTCAGTGCCTTACATTTCCTGCGCTTTGGGGCTCCCGTGGTCTCCTTGCTACTGTCAGCAAGATGCCCTGGAGAGGCCGGCAGCCCCTGTCGTGTGATCCCTGGCACACTCGGAGGGGCTGAGCTGTCCCTGGCGGTTCCTGTGTGCTGAGGGGCTGTGTTGAGTTGGGTTCCTCTAGTGCGGGGCATGGGACCAGGAGTCGTGACCACCGTGGCCTGCGTCTCACAGGCAGCCGAATGCTGACCCCTTGGCCAGGCGTGGGGTCTGCGCCTGGACCATAACCGTTGGCGCGTAGAAAAGCCGCGCTCATCAGAAGAGGCCCTCGGTGCTGCTGCTGACAGCCCAGCCCGCCTGTGGGGTGCACACCCGTGAGGCTACCCGGCCCTGTGTGCATTCGCCTCTGTTGGGCAGGAGTAATAAAGGCTGTTTCTTTGCATGAACCGCGTCACCGGGGTCTTGGATTGCAATGTCACGTGATGCCTAGGAACCCTTAAGTCGGGAAGACTTGGGTTCGGGAAGACTTGGGTTCAGGCCCACTTTGCGGTTACCTTGCCACTGCACCTTTGACCTACACAGGTCTAAGCAGAGCAGGGTGGCAGGGCGACCCCAGGATCCCAAATCGCCCCGGGCCTGTGCACCCCAGCACAAGTATCTGCCTCTGCCCCATTCCGGATGCAGTCACCGGCCGGGGCCTTTGAGTGCTTCGCTGGGCGGAGTGCGATGTTACCTGTTAGGGCTTACAGCTGTGTGTTTTGCATTTGGTGGAGTTGGGGCCACAAGTTCTCTGCCTCTTGCAGTCCTCAGAGCAGCAGGGGCTGGGATGGGGGATGGGTGGGTAGCTCGTGCCGCTTGTCAGATGACTTCTGGAGATTTGGGCCTGTGCGCCTTCTTGGGGACCCGGCCCTGAGACAGGGCTCGCCGGTTATTTGCAGGACTATAAATGATCCTCTTTTTTCTTTTGTTTCCTCACCAAAGAAAGAGGGCTATGGGCCTATTGGAAATGATTATTTTAAGGACTAAAATAATAAACTTAAAGCCTTTAGAACAATACCTGGTACATGATTCAGGCTCAGTCAATCTTACTTTTATCATTTTTGGGTCCCAGGAGCACTTTGGCCTCATGTGTAAAGCAGAGGTGCCTGTGTCCTTGTCCAGTCAGCTGGATGGGAGTCCTGGATAACGTCCCAAGTACAGGGCGATTGTTTTTATTGTCAAGCTGTCCCTGCTTTGAGCAGGGGTCTGCAGAGGCCCGAGGAAGAGCTCATGCTGATGTTCAGCTTGAGTTAGGGAGGGCTTTCTAACCCGCGCTCCCTGACTGGCTGCTGGCAGCGGCTCTGGCGTCCCTTCCAAGGTGTTGTCACAGCTTCGCGTTCTCTGGTCTGACAGTGCCGGTGGTGCTGACACTGGTGGCGCTGACTGAAGGACTGGTCCCATGTTCGGGCGTTTTGTTTTTGTGGCAGTGAGAATCTCTGAGAGGTATTGCAGGCAGCCTGGTCTGATGTGCTTGGAAATGTGGGATTGTTTGGATTTTTCCATGAAATTCTTTATGAGTTGCTCTGGCAACCATACAGCTATGTGAAATGCAGATGAAAACGTGAGTCTGGACGCACAGGGACGCTGCCAGCTGCCACCTCGGCGTCGTGAACTTCCCAGGGCAGAGAGCAGCTGCGTCCAGGAAGTTCAGAAACAGAATTCACTTCTGCAGGCCCCGAGGTGCTTTCCAGGGAGGCGGCCATGGTGCCGTAGAAAGAATTATGATTCCTTTTCAGCTTCATCACAGGAAATTAAATGAGTGGAATTGCTTGGAAGCCCTGCGTGCTTCACAGCTGACTTAATGGCTGGGAAAGTGTGCATGGAGTTGGAGATGCCAGGTCCCGTGCCCGGGTCGCTAGCTGTCCACGGTGTGACACCAGCCAAGGCCTCACTTCCCGATCCTTGTGGGGGGAGCAGGAGATAATTAAGGATTTGGTGGTTTCCCCTTTGGTGTTTTCCAACAGGAGGATAGGAACAAAGGATGGCTCTTAAGACCGTGTTGGGAAAACGTAGATCACAAAGAGCCTGCGTTCCCAGTGGAAAGTCGATGCTTGCATTACATGGCTGGCTATTTTTTTGAAGAGCGCTTTCTGTAAAAGAAGGACAAATTCATCCTCCACCAGGCAGGGGTCCAACCTCTCTGTTCTCTCCTGAGTTGCTTCTTCTTGGCACTTGCTGGGGTTGCGTGCAGCTTTCGAGGTACAGATAAACACACATCTCACTTCATCCCAGAAACAGGCTTGTGAGGCGGGTACTGTGCCTGTCTCCACTTTCTAGCCAGAAAACTGGCACTTACCAGGGGTTGGTAGCAACCCCCAAGGCTGGTCAACAGAAAGAGCAAGGCTAGCGCTAGTTTGTCTTCTAACAAGCAGGCACCGCCTCAGATGCCCAGCCTTCTCTCCCTGGCCCAGGAAGCCGGTGAGTCCTCACATCACACTGCTCTGCGGAGTCCACCCTAGAGTGTGAGAAGAAAGCTAGACGAAGTCTTGTGTGGCCTTAGGCCAGCCAGTGCGGATCCTTGAGATCAGTGTGCCCGGATCTCAAAGGAAGGGAGTGGGGTGGCTCGGGTCCCTCGTCCACGTCAGAGAACTGCTGGAAGTGACCGTAGTAGCGAGGCTTCCACCGCCCACCCTGATAACCCGCTCAATATTCCTGCCGAACAATCCAGCCACTTTCTGAATGACCCGAGCAGGCCACCAGCTCCTTCCAGAGATGCGCATGTTTTGGGCTGGTCTTGTCAGGAAGTCGCACTTTGGTTTCGGTGTTTTCTCTCACGAAACCTCAAGCGAACATAAAATCTGTCTAAGCACTCTGCGAAGCTGAGGCAAAAAGACTGCAAGCTCAAGCCCAGCCCAGCCCCGGCAGTTTATTATGATGCCACCTCAGACTTTTATGGGTGAGGGTAAACTCAGTATGAAGGCTCTGGGTTCAGTCTCCACTGTCGCCACCAAACGTTTTGTGGGGAGGAGCTGTGGGAATGATTTCCGGGGCTACACAAGTCCCTGCGACTGAACTCATCTTTACCCATAACTAAGCCCCGCCTCTTGTTCTCTTTCCACGGGAAGTACACAGCTGTCTTCCGGGCACACCGTGGCAGTGATGGGCATTGACTTCACACTGAGGTACTTCTACAAGGTCCTCATGGACCTGTTGCCAGTATGTAACCAAGATGGCGGCAACAAAATAAGGTAAGCCCCGGTGGGACAGCATTGCCCGTCCACGGACAAGAGGAAAGGTAAAAGATGTCAGGCACCTCTGGCCAAATGGCAACCACCATGTAGTCACAGTCAGGACATGAAACTGAAACTAGGTATGGTGGTGCATGTCTGTTATCCCAGAACTCTGGAGGCTGAGGCAGGAGGATCACAAGTTTGAGGCCAGCCTAGGCTACATAGCAACTTCAGGGTTGACTTGGAGAAGTGAGACCCTTTCTCAAAACCTGCAGGAAAGAGGGGAGGGAGGGAAGAAGGGAATTAATTGAATTTATGGCCTGAGTATTCTATTTAGGTTTGGGGTTTTTTTTGTTTTTTTTTTTACCCTTCAGTAAGATGTATGCTGTTTATGATTTGAAAAATACAACACATAACAAGGGCCGTGGCTGCCACCTGGCACCGGAAGCCCTATTTCCCTAGAAATCAGTAATTAGAGGCTTCGGTATCTCTGGTAATGGAATGACCAGAGTGTACTCTCGGGTAGTACTTTTGATGTTAACTTAGTCATTACACCAGAGGCTTTGTGAAGCTGCAGCAGTTTAGATGGCTGCTTTCACATTTCCCCAGAAGGAGGCTCACAGAACTAGAAGTCGTTGCATCCTGCGTTTCAGAAGTACACGTCTGATCAAAGCGAGAGCATTCCCTTGATTTAACGCAACCCACTTTTAAAAATAGCTTCCCGCGCCGGGGACTTAGCTCAGTGGTTCCGCTACCTTCCTCACAAGCACAAGGGGCCCGAATTCGATCCCCAGTACCAAAAAAATAAAAATAGAAATAGCTTCCCTGGCTCCATGTCATGTCTTCACTTCGAGTCACTGCTGAAATCACATTGGGCTGTGGTGGAGACTCACCGGTGTCCTAGTGACAGGACACGACAGTAAAGCAGAAGAGAGTCTCAGTGAAAGCAAAGCGTGTTGGTATTTCCGTCAGATCCATTTCTTTATCCCCAGGTATATTTAGTGTGTGTTTCCCGTGGGAGGAAGAACTTTATTTCCCTTAAACTTTATGCCCATAAATACTCAAGTCTACTTCCTCCCAGTTTTCCTTCCTCTGAAAAAGGAGACTTCCTGATTACACACCCTTGCCAAAGACTTCAGGGTCTGCCGGAGACACATGTTGTCGGGTTCCAGTCCCTACCTGCCCAGTACGTGACAGAGGCCTGAGAAATAAACACACTAAGAGACAGAACTAGGAGAGAAAGCGGAGCCAGGACAACCAAAGCCGGTGCGACCGACAAAGGCCCTGGCCAGTCCCAGCCGCTGACTTATTGGTAGTCAGCTGGGGTAAAGGCAGGCTGCATGCAGTTTCTGTGTAAACAGGGCTAATGCAAACAGAGCTCCTAGAGGACAAGACAAAGTGTTCTCAAATTAGGAGCAGAATAGACGAAATATGTGGTGTAATTAGAAACTGTCCTAGTCTGAAGGTTTTAGATGTGGGAACGGAATTTAGATGTGAGTTACTCTGACTTCAGTCCACAGGCTTTACTGGACTCACTTTTCAAAACAAGCCGATGTGGATGTGGGGTTAGCTCTTCACGGCCTGCCTTGGGCATAATCAGCGTTACGTTTGTCTGCGAGGGTCTGTGGTGCTGGGGTGGGGCAGGCACGCTGTGGACCTCACTGGGCCACCACAGGCGGCCACCCCGAGAAGGAGCCGCGTCCCCTCATTTCTCAGTGCGTTTTCACGGCGTCGCCTTCTCCCAGGTGCTTCATCATGGAGGACAGGGGCTACCTGGTGGCGCATCCGACGCTCATCGACCCCAAGGGACACGCCCCGGTGGAGCAGCAGCACATCACGCACAAGGTACTGCCAGGTACCGGCGCGGCGGCCGCAGCTGCAGCCCACCTGGCTTGCTACACGGCGTCCGCCACTCTTCTCTTTGGCCTTGTCAGGAGCCCCTGGTGGCCAACGACATCCTGAACCACCCCAACTTCGTGAAGAAGAACCTGTGCAACAGCTTCAGCGACCGCACCGTGCAGAGGTTCTACAAGTTCAACACCAGCCTCGTGGTGAGTTGGGTCCCTGGCTCCCGTCGGTCCTTCCTGTACGGAACCGGAAGTGGAGGGTGCTCCTGGCCGGGTGTCATGCCCGCCCACCCCATTGCCTCCGAATCACCTGCAGGTACGAGGGGACGGGACCTTTGTCCAGCCGGAAAGCCCAGACCATAGAGGGATCACTTTAGATCACCACGGTTGGTGTTTAGTTTGGTCCCCCTCTCTCTGAACCATCTGCTGATGTCGGTTCCCACACACTTACAAAACACGTGTAGCCCCTGTGCCCCCCTTCCGGTCCCCTAGCATCCCTCGGCCTCCTCTGTTCCTGAGGCCCTGGTGTGGGCGAGTGTCGTGGAGATCATCTGAAAAGAATTGCTTGTTGCACCTCAGCCTCTCAGCAGAACTTGAGTTCCTGCAGAATTTACCTGGTTAGGGCTGGAGATCTTGAAGACATTCTTAATTAATTTATAAATCTCTAATTGAGAAAGATCTAAAATGGGGAATGATGGAACTAACATTCAGAGAGTTACAGGAAGCCTTTATTTTTATAGTTTAGAACTGGTGTTGGTGTCGGTCATTTAATGTGTAACCATTTTCAAGGGTGCACTGAGCTCCGCTGAAAATCTTAAACTGACTGTCACAAAGTCGATGACAAACAGGAATTTGTCCGGTGGAAGACTGTTTAAAAAGTTGAGTACATAGTGGAACTGGGCCTTCAAAGCGGCCCCCACTGTGCCTTGAGCAACACTGTCTCTGAAGGGGGCTCAGACATCTAGCAGAGAGGCTGCTGAAGTCTCCTCGTGAGGATCCAGCTCGTCCCGTGTGTCTGCCATCGGTTCTGTTACAAGGGTGATCAAAAGTGCAGTAAATGTGTAAATTCTGTTAAGGCAAAGCACACATTGCCATGGCTATGCCTCAGACTCCTCCGCTTGCCCTGAACACACCCATCCTCATGGTCCTGGCCACTCTGCAGCAGCTCCGAGTCCTTTCCTGAGCGTCTTTATGAGGTCTTATAAAAGACGCAGCCAGTGCTGCTCCTGCTGCTGAGTAGCACAGCAGCACACCGGGCCGGTGAACACGACACAGTTCTCTGTGATTATTCGCCTTGTTCGCTGGATCTGGCTCAGCCCGACTTCCAGCTCTTCCCCAAAGTCAAAATGACCAAGGAAGGGAAATGTTTTAAATGGACTCAAGGCATCGAGGACAGCGCAGCTGAAGGCCCTCTGGGAAGAACTCTCCAGAGCGGCTGCCGGAAGCAGCGAGAACAGTGGAGCCCGTGTTCAAACCCAGGGGCGGATTCTGATGGGAATGTGTCTTTTACTGTAATTCCTTGCTTTTTATGTAAATATATCACACTTTCCCATCACCCCTTGTGTTGTTTCTGGGCTCACCAGCATGCTGGAGTAGAAATGCTTCAGAAAGAAGTCTGAGTTGGATGTGAATTAAAATAATTTCCTAGTGGCCTGAGATACCTCAGTGTGGAGTTGGACTGTGGAAAGAACTTCCAGTGTCACAGCTCTCCGAGTTTGTCTGTCCCTACCTCACGCCTGCATACGTAAGAGCTCAACAGCACGGAAATCAGCAAGGGGTAAATAATTTTCCCAGGAAAGACGACACGTGCAAAAGATAGTGACAACATAACATCACAGCTCTGCTTTTGAATCTTTGGTTTCCACATACAGTGGACAAATTCGGCGAGAGGAGAGCTGTGACCTTTGCTTGTTACAGGCTGAAGGGATATTGCTTTATTTGGATTAAGTGTTCTGGGAGCAGGAAATTAACCTCTTACAGAGGCTTTGGCTTTTTAATTTTAGTATTCCAGAAGGAGAAAGGCTTGTGAAGCAAGGGACAGCAGTGCAGTGTGTTTTGTGGTCAAGTTCGTCTTTTGATAAATTTTAAACTGTCCCTTACTTGAAAATGGTCTTTCTTCTCATTGAAGTTTGCATTTTTATGATACATTGGTACGTTTTTCAAAAGCATATTATAAAAAGAATCAGCTGTACAGTGTGTGTGTGTGTGTGTGTGTGTGTGTGTGTGGGTGGGTGGGTGTGTGTGTGCAAGCCCAGACGAAAGACTGCCTGGCGTACATGTGATCAAATGGGAATTCTCCGCTCGGTGGGATCAGGAGCAGTTTTCTCCCACACTGCAGCGGGACGTCCCTCTCTGGGCAGAAGCTGGCCCGGCCGCTGCTTGGGTCTGGGGCTATGTTGCCAGTGCAGTCACCTGACCCTTCCTGCTCTGCAGGGGGACCTCACCAACCTCGTGCACGGCAGCCACTGCTCCAAGTACAGACTGGCGAGGATCCCGGGCACCAACGCATTCGTCGGCATCGTCAACGAGACGTGCGACTCGCTGGCCTTCTGCGCGTGCAGCATGGTGGACCGGCTCTGTCTCAACTGTCACCGGTGGGCGGCGACGGCCCCGCGCTGTTACCACGCAGCTGATGCAGCCCCGCGGGCGGCCTCTCACCGCAGAAGGCCGGGGTGGGGC